CATTTTTTCTTAGTTTTATTTCACTTTTGCAACCACAGCAACAAATATTAACCCAGAAACAAGACAGAAAGCTCTTCCAGAGTGTGCATTATTAAAGCGGTGTCACAGGCCTGCAGGAAATCCACGCTTATTATTTGCATAAAAACAAGCAAACTCACGGATGTCGGAAAACTGAAATGTTGGAAAAGCAAGACAGGACTTACTCCATCATCTTGGAAAGTTGAATGCGAATATTTTTACTTATCTGTCTATCTGCTATCCATCTATTCATGTCCTTATTTTAGCAAAAGACACAAATAATGAGAAATGTATGTCTCTAGCCGGAGCAGCTACCTTGTCTTGCGTTCTCAGAGGCGATGAGGATGAAAACATTTAGGCAGACCTGCATAGCCCACAACAATAAATGACCGCTGCCTGTGCTCATGTTGCCGCTGGACCAGGGGTAGGTGTTAAATCCTAGTCTTCAGCCTAAGGCAGCAACTCAAACCGGGGAGCAGCAAAGCCCAGGCATCCATGGGCAACTTACGGAGTCACAGGAGTTTCAAGGAAAGATCCTTGTTGAGATGCCTTGTGTCGGTCCCAGAGCAAGCACAGGAAAACCCCGTGGCCACTGTAGGACCGGTTCTTTCATCTAGTCAAGATCCAGCTGCTGTTGAGGGATGCTGTGTTTATGCTGTGGTGCCGTTCCCCAGCTCTCCTCCAACGCCAAGGTGGGGGAAAGTAATTCCTGGTACGTCCAAATGTGAGACTTCTTGACTTGTCAAGTAAGAACTTGATGGTAGGAGGCTCCCTCCAAGACTGGTCTCCCCTCCTTCACCTCCTCCAAAGCCAGTGGTTCCCCGTCTTAGATGCCACAAGCAGCTCCCTGGACGCTTGGTTGATGGTTTACTCCTTGACCCAGCTGAAGCGGGAAGGAATTTTTAAAATTTCCATTATATTTTATTTTCTTAAAAAAAAAAAACCAAACCAACAAAGCTTATGATTTTTAAGAAAGTGCCTTACAGCAGAGCCCAAATGGAAATGTTTGCGTTTGATACCATCCATCAACGCTGCGACACCGCGGGAGTGGCTCCTCCAGCTCCTCTCGTCGCGGTGGACAGAAGGAGCTGTCAGGAGCCGCGTGCGGCCGCCGCACCGAGCAGGGCGGGAGCCATGCTGGCAGAGATCCCTTCCGCAGAGGGGATTTCTGCACTGACAATTTTTGGCTCCTTTAGGTTACTTTGGAGCTGCACAGAATATGTAATGTTCTGCACTCGCGGAGGGGCTGACAGGGAACTTAAATACAGATTGCAAAGATAGATCATCTCCCAGCATCACTTTGTTTTCTGCTGCTCTAAAATCATTTTACTTGTTCCTGCAGCTACTATAAAGCCAGAAGAGCTCTCTATATTTGCTTCCCGGATGCCTTTTTCTCCTCTGCTTACAACTATAAAAGCAGCTTTTCATGCTCCAAATCAGAGATAAATTGAAATCGCTGCTGAAGAAATAAAACACAAGGCTAATCAAATTGTAGCACAGGAAGCAGCCTTCAGCCAGTGCATTTTTTTGAGAGCTATTTTTAGAATATATTTTTATTTTGTCACTCCATATGGGAAGTCAAACCCATATGGTTTGGGAGAATGGAAGGTTGTGCTTTTATAGAGATCTCACAAACCATCCCTGCTCAGCCACGTACTTAAACATGTGCTTAAATCCAATTGTCTGTGATGGGACTGAAGCACCTAAACTCCTCATGACTGGGGCCTCAGGCCCTGTCTGAGGTTGTAACAGTATTATTCCCTCCTGAGATGTAAAACTATTCTATATTCGTCAAACCAGTCTCCAGTTGACTTGGCTCTTCTTAATTACTATATTTCTCATTCATGCACTTTTTTTTTTTTTTTCTTTCTTCCTCCCTTTTTCTTTTCTCCAGTTCTTCTCCACTGTTCAGACGCCTTGATGAATGTGTTCGGTCCAGTACTAGCCAGGGTGCAAAGCTGAACATCCATAGCCACCACTCACCTGCTCCTCACAGTGGAGGTTTCTACCCTGCAAATATCAAGATTAATGTGGTGTTGGGGCGTGCGGTTGCACTCTGCCCACAACCCTGCAGCACCTTCTGGCTGTGCTGATGAAGCAATAACTGGCAAGCAAAGGTATTGTACTTCTGGTAAACCGTGTGTATAAAAATCAGCAGCACGTCCTCAGTGTTAATCCACCAGAATATCCATTTTGCTTCTGTTTTAGGTGATTCCGTGAGTCTTAATCAAATATTATGTTTCTTTTAAGGAATTCTGTGGGATGGTTAAAAACACTGACAGAAAGTTTCTAACCTGGTAAATTCCAGAGGGTCATTTTGTGAATATATTCTGCTGTAATCCTGTTTCTTTCCTGTGCGGTTTCTCCAAAGGTGAAATTAAAAAAAAACAAAACAAAAACCCAACAAATTTAAAACATGCTATTTATTACAATTTGAAAAGAAAAATTTACTTGAGCCTGTCTTCCTTGTGCTCCCAACTCTTATCACTGACTGTGGTATTGAGGTACCATTTTTACAGGCAAGTGGAGATTCCCCTAAAGCAGTAGCACACGTGATAATGGTCATGGGGATCTTGTTTTTTTTTCTGTCTTACCTAGTCCTTAGAGGTGTGGGTGGCCAGATCAGCCTGTTGTCTGCTGAATGCCCAAATCTATAATTAAAAATAATCTTTGAAGCTCAAAGGGCTCCTGAGGTGCTCCACAGGCAGACTTTCTCTGCCTGGGCTCTCCCCAAGCTGTCAGGAAAGCTGCAGGCAGGAGAATTGCAAATTGGGAAGGATTTTGTCCTGTGGTTCACCCCAGCTGTATGCACAGAAAAACAAGCAGCGCTGTGTGGCAGGCAAGAGGCAGAGTTAAACTGCACATCAGTTAACACGAAATGCTCAAATATCTATTTTAATATGTCAGAGAGGATAGCTGACTTTGTCTACAAGTGATCTGCAGGACATATCGAAATGCAGCTGGATGCTTTTATTTGTAGTATAATGAGCAGAGGCTCAGAAATTTGGGTGGTAAACCTGTGGGTTACACAGGTCCAGCGTGGCAAACACCCCACTGAGCTGCTTTCTGACTAAAGGAGAAGTATTTAATTTATTGTGTTACTTTTGGTTCAAGAGTTGTATTTGGCCTCAATGTGGAAGCAGAGCTAAAGGAAGAGCAGGGCATTAGCAGTTAATATTTTTATACTTTTTTTTTTTTTTTCCCCTTAGGAAACAATTCTCCATCTTTTATTTTTGGAAGAAGTACAATGGGAATAGGACTGCACAGCGGAGAATTCAGTGTGGCAGAAGGATGGGAAGCATGGAGGTTTCTGAGATGGTTTGGATGCTGCTTCCACCAAGCAGAAGGGATGTTATACTCAAATTATTCATCAAAGCTGAGACCTTACACGGATTATTTTATTGGAAAGTCAAGTAAACAACCACTGATTTTCTTTCCCCCCCGTAAATATAAAGCAGAGATCTTGTGTAAGAGGAGACAATGTTAAAATAACGAACACCAGAAGGGGCTGAATGGAAAAGCCTGAGGTTAGAGCAGAGAGAAACTGTCAAAAGTTTTAACAGAAATTTTATGAGACCATATTTGTATTCAAAAAATCTATCAGAGTTTTGAAATCAAAATAACTGCTGTTAGATTATTTGCTGAAAATAGCTTTATAGTGAGAAAAAAACCCCATCTCCTGTATCCCACGCTAAGATGTATATGCTATACCATTCTGAAATCCCAAAAGACAATCTAAATCACCTGGATTCATGATGCTCAGGGTAGATGCAAGTAGCTGGGTTTTCCCATAAATGTTGTTGTGGAATACTCCAATAACACAACTGTTGGGCCAGGTGCCTGGGTTGTGTGTGTGACACGGGTACAGGAGCACTGAGGCGGACGCGTGACGTCGCTGCGTTTCCTGTACGTCACTTATCACAGCCACACATTGTGGCCCTGGTAACGCCAACCAAGAGTTTGCCGGTGACTTCAGCGGAGCCAGAATTTCACCCCAGGCTGGGAGCAGCTGACGGAGAGTGCCACGGGCTGGTGACCTTCAGCAATTTCAAGTCAGTGACGTAGAAGTGAAAAAATTCCTTGTCACACAACTGATCTCATCGGCAACCCAGGGTACCCAAATTTCACTTTGGATTTTCAACCAAGTTTCCATTCACGTGGCACCTATGTAGATAATATGTTAAGGCATTATTCTTAAAAAAGTAAAGAATTAATTTCTTTAAGAGATGGGCGATTTGTAGAAGACATTTGTGTAATTTTGCATTCTAAATGTGATTTATATTTATAAATAAATTTGCATAAAATCTCCAGCTCTCGATGTCATAGTTCTATTTTATCTTTAATTCAGATGCTCAAGAAATGTAAATTATTTTTACAGCTAAATAAAAGCTATACAAAGCTGCCAGGGAAGAATAATGAGATACACATTGTGCCATCCAGCCATGATAAATCCAGCAGCACCATGGTTACAGTCAAAATGCGAGGCCATCAGCAACCAGGAAATATCAGCACATATAGATTCCTCTGACTAGATTCAGCAAACTAATCTTAACTGGGAAAGCTCACGACACTAGGTCAGCAAGAGGAAATATTTACCTGAAAGACAGACAGCCACCTAAAATGAGGAGGAAGAGTCGGTTTGTATGGCAAGGGTTTATTATACATTAGAAATATCAGCCATAGTTGGGCCAGGCTCTACATACATGCTTTACAGAAATAAAGATATCAATGTTCCTGTAACGTGGCAAAGTTTGCAAATTATCGGTGCATTTGCTAACGATAGCACAAGCTTATTAAATACAGCTTAGTCATGAGGATGGTGCCAGTAAGAAGATATATTTTCCCCCCCTTTAGTCATTGTGGTAAAGGGTTCCAGGACCACGGCTCTGGATTGGCTAACGGGTTAGTCCCCAATTAACCCAAAGCTGAGGTAATTACACCAAACGAGGGTGTGAAGAGCCTCAGCTGATGGTAGTAAGAGGAAAGTAAATAAAAGGTGCACAGAGTCCTTCTACCTCTCTTCTGGTGTGGAGGCTTGAGGGGTGAGTTGTCTGGGTTTTCAAGAAGACAAACCTTGTTTTCTGCAGTTTGCTGTGACTGGTGCAGGTAGGTCTCATTTTTTTTTTCCTTGCTTTTGCCATAGTCTCTGTTTCCCATTAATACTTGGGGGGTTTTTGTGTGTATTTTTGCTGTTTGTTTGCTGCTGGAATTGTCTTACTCCACTCTGCTCTTTAAAGTTCACATAAAATGAACTGAAGATGATTGCTGACAAGCACTGCTGACTTGTTTCCTTGTTTGTTGAATTACGGTGGTCTTGCTTTAATTCAGCTCGGTGCTGAGGTTGCACTGGTTCAGAGTGGCTTCCTAGGATCTAGGGGACTGCTCCAAGGCTCTTTGCAGGAGGAGGTGTACAGAATACCAGGCAGCGATGAGGGACACCAGTCAGTTGGTGTTTTGGGGATGACTAACCATGCAGGATGTTCAGAGCTGGGATGAGTTCTCCCATAGCACCTAAATTTTGCAGAATCCATTTGCTCTAGAGCTGTCAAATTCTATTTTGTGGCAAAGTGTCCGGGGCGCATAACAAACCTTGTGTTTTGGAATCTGCTGCTTTTGTCTTTTGGGTTCCCTCTTCCAGACGGAAGTCAAGTAACAGTTTTGTGATAAGTTTTACGCTGGCACCAGACGGGACACTGCACGATGCTGAGCACCTCATCAAGAAGGTGCTGAGTCTTTTAAACCCTGTGGGTTTAGGGGCCACTGGGTCCTCAGCATCCCGAAGAACTGAGCCCTGTGATGCTCAGTTTTCTCAAGCGTCTGGACAACGGTTTGCCGTGAATAGGGACAGCCTAAAAGTTGTGTCAAAAGAGAGGCTTTGTTTTGCTGAATCAGGGCAGTGAATGCGTGTGCATCTCGGAGAGCGTGGACAGGCCTGTTGACTCCTAAGGACCACTCGTGCTTTAATTGAGTATGTGCATGAATGCTTAACTGGTTGGGATCAGCATAAACATCCCTGAATGTCAAGCTCTCTTCTGTGTCTTTTTTTGTAAAGCTAATGACCACCAGGCATTAAAAACCTGGTTCTGGTCTTTGGAGATGCTGAAGCATCTTATTTCATATTTTTAAAGGTGAATGCATTCACCTTAAAATAAAATGTCTTTATTTGGGAGACATTGGAGCATAGAAAAACAGAGAGCTGTAAACTTAATGTCCTTGGAAGTTTAGGATTTAAAAAAAAAAAAAAAAGTCCATAACTTCTAAAAGAAACCAAATAATGCTGCTTAGAAGCATTTTAAAAACAACAACAAAAAAATCATGCTCAGCAGACAGCTCTTATAATAAGGCTCTGCCCAGAGTGAATTTTTATGCTTGAGTTATAAACCCTTGAAAAATGGGGATCCTAATGCAAAAGCTGACACAGCTTTAACTAAAGCAGCTCTAGTAAGTGCTGCTATAATTATTTGCTCATTAATTACAAATTTTGCAAGACGGAGAGTAACACAAATTGGAAAATAGGAATAATTATCAGTAATAATGCCACAGAAGCTGGACACATTGAAAGTATCTTCCTCTTTAAATTTAATAATAGCAAGACAGCTAGGAAACTAATAAGAAATACATAATTGAAAATTAACCTTGCAAATCTGCTGTTAATAAACCACGGTACTCTTGCATTACAATAATTTTACAGAGCCCTTAATTTGCATTTGAAGTGTTATTCCAGGTAATACTTTGTGAGTTCACAACAATTAGCATGTCTTTGAATTAAAACAAAACCGCAAAGGTAGGATTGGGTGTAGCCGAACAGTACAGAACGGTGTATGCTGTAGCTTTCAGTAGCTCAGAGCTCGAATGATTGGAAACCAAACGCACAATGGTGATTTTTGTGCTGGCTGTTATGCCTGAATGCTGTTTTGTTATTGTTGAATTCGAGTATTGTAGTGTTTCGTGCTTTCATCCTTAGCTTGTGTAAATACACCAGCTGGATGTTGGATCGCTTGCACTTTCTCATCCTCTGAGGTGCGAGGCTTGATTACTTGGGGATGCTTGAAAACATCCAGTACGTCGGTGATAGGTGATGTGTGTGGTCCTTGAAATACTCTGCAGCGGTGCGTGCTTTTACCAGTGTGTGTGAGGGGGTTTAATGGATCTAATGGGGGCAGGCTGCTGGAGGCACTGGGGTTTGAGCAGGGTGAGTCAGGGGGGCCTGGGGTTTAAGGAAAGCTGCTGCTTTACTGCAGGTTGGCACTGTGTGCCTGAGGTCTGCCCGTGGTTCTCCCCTCGGAGGGAAACGCCACTTCCTTACGGGTGTTTTGTATCTGTTGCCAATAGACAGAAGTCTATAAAAATCTGTTAAATCAATCAGTTTGTGAGTAAGGGTGAAGAGAATTGTTTATTCAAAACTCAGACTGAGTCAACTGCTCTTGCTAAATATCTCCCACTCATAACATAAACCTGATGCATATTGCTGCCTGCTCCTTGCTTTCAGTCACAGAAGACTTGCACGTTTGTAGCCAAGAAGTGTTTAATCATTTTTTTTGGAGCCCGTATCTACTGAGCTCTGAGTGTTCAGCTGAGGAAAGAGGATGGACTGTGACAAAGAGGAACATCCCTGACTGCAGGCTTGTACTTATATCACAATATTAACGGCAGCAGAGGTACGGACAGGGCTTCAAAGTCATGTATGGCCAAGCAGCTTAATAAATAAATAAATAAAAATAACCCGGAGACCCACAGTGTCTGGCATCAGAAAGGAGAAACATTGTACACAAACAATTGAGTTAAGAGTGTGCACTCCAAACAGCGTTTCTGCACAATTCCAAACTCCATCGAGGGCTGCATGTAAAATGTTGGCTTCTTTGTCCAAACCCACAAATCCTAGGGAAAAGGCCATTAGGGGTCAGCAATTCAGCTGTTTGTCTGCTCACTTTATGTAAGAGGTTAGCAGCAGTATGCTTTTTGTCCAAAGCCAGCAATAGCAGGAACAGCTTGTTTCTGAAAGGGCTGCGGTTCCCCTAGTCGTGATAGAAGGGGTCCTGAAATAAACCTCCAATCCGTGGATAGTCTTTGATTTGACCTTTTGTCCATGTATTTGGCTATAAGCGTATGCTTAGCACAGCATTTGACTTTTGTCACTCCCTTCCCTGACAGCCTATATAGCTCAAGCACCACCAGTGCTGACGCTTTTCCTCCGTTTCGCCGTGCTTCGGGGAAAATGGAAAACATTGTGATGTGGGACAATAAGGCGTTTTGGTTGCCCAAGCTCTTCCTCCAGAGGAGCTCAGGTGGTTGTGTAGAAAAGCAAATCTCCCGTCTCCTCGCAGCCTCTGAGTGAAGCCCCAAGATCTCGGTGGCTTCGGCCCATGGGAGGAGAGGATGGTGATGTCCCCCTCCAAAGGCCTTTGAAATCAGTTTGCATATTAAAAAAAAATACAGAAATGAAAAATGACTTTAAATTCTCTTCTGCTTTGGGGCCAAGCCATGGAAAGATCTCAAAGAAGTGGAGTGGATCTTGTGTGAACTCTGCGTGGCCATGCCTGACTCTAAACTTGATGATGTGAGGCCGGCTTCACTTGGTCCGTGAAGCTTTGGTTTGGACCTAGAACAGACTGAGGATGGGTGTTCCCCGGCTTAACCCCGGTCAGGATGTAACCGCTGCATTTGTGAATGTCAGAATTAACGGCACGGAGTTAAGGGATGAGTCAGTGAAGGACTGTTGAGGATTGATTAGATGCATCTTCCCTTCCTTGCGTGTCTGTAGGTCCTGTTGGCAGTTCTCTGCAAGACTAGAGCAAGTGCTGGGGCCACGCTGGATTTCCCGTGAAGCTCAGAAGCTCGGCCAGCCCAGAGGCACTGAGCAGAGCTGTCTGTGTCTTGGGTAGGGAAAGCCTTGAGAGTTGAATGGATGAAGAGGAGCGGGGAGCGGGCAGTTGCTGCTCCAACCTTGAGAGAAAGGAGATGGAGAATACCCTTTCCTCTGTCTGAAAACCAGGAGGCTGTGGGAGAAATGTGCCTCTCAATGATGCTCCTGAGGCAGCCTCTGCTAGTGATTCCCAATCAGTATTCTGCTCATCACCTCTTTCTCAAGGAAAGACATAAAGGAACAACTTAGCCAAAAGGAAGCTATTTTTAGAAGATGGAGAGATGATATTCCCCCCCCCCCCCC